ATCCGAACCGCAAACCAAGAAAAGACTGGTCCAAAATTATTTGTTACCGGTGTGATAAACCGGGCCATTTTGCATCTCAATGTCCGAACCAAATTAAATAATTACAAGAAAGTAATTTTGCAGAATATGACGATACCGACGAGACCGTATTTTTAAACAAAGAAAATGTGATACCGTCTCGATACGACTCACAAGATAACGACATATGGTACTTGGATAACGGGGCAAGAAATCACATGACAAGAAACCGGTCATTTTTCTCCGAGTTTGATGAAGGTATAACCGGGACGGTTAAATTCGGAGATAATTCGTGTGTAAAAATCAAGGGAAAAGGTGTTATACTTTTCCAAGGCAAAAGGGGGTCAAAAAAGGTTGATGACGGAGATTTACTACATACCGGATCTCAAGAACAATATTATTAGTCTTGGACAAGCAACTAAATCCAGGTGTGATATTTAAATGAAAGATAACTATTTGACCATGCACGATGCCGATAATTGCTTATTAATGAAAGTACAAACAACTCCAAACCGACTATAGAAAATAAAATTACAAATTGGAGTTCCTATTTGCCTTCATTAGAGACTAAGTGAAGATACGTGGCGATGGCATGCAAGACTTGGGCACATCAATTTCGAGACAATGAAAAGGATGTCCAAGAAAGGTTTAGTCAAAGGGTTACCCAAATTTGATCATGAGAATCAATTATGTAAGTCTTTCTTGGTGGGCAAGCAAACAAGAAAGTCATTCCCGAATATGACGACATACAAAGCAAAGCAACCATTGGAATTAGTTCATGTAGATTTATGCGGTCTGATCACGCCGACAACCAAGGGTCAAAATCGATATATTTTTACACTAATTGATGATTTTTCACAATTTATGTGGATTTATCTCATGAAAGAAAAGAGTGAGGTGTTTACACACTTCAAAAAATTCAAAGCTTTAGTGGAGAATGAAATTGGAAAGCCTTTGAAAGTGTTTAGAAGTGATTGAGGAGGTGAGTTTACTTTTCTCAAGTTTAATTCAATTGGAAAGCCTTTGAAAGTGTTTAGAAGTGATCGAGGAGGTGAGTTTAATTCTTTTTGTGATCAAAACGGAGTCAAACGCCACTTTACCGCCCCATATTCTCCAAAACAAAACGGAATTGTGAAACGAAGAAACCGAACACTTATGGACACGACACGAAGTATAATGAAGGCAATGCATGTTCCAAACTACTTATGGGGAGAAACGGTAAATCACTCTAGAAATCTAATCAATCGCGTTTACACAAGAGTCCTCGGTGATACAACTCCATACGAAAAGTTGTATAAAAGAAATCGAATTTAGAAAACGTTTGTATATTTGGGTGTCTAGCACATGAAAAGGTTGAACCGGTTAAGCTAAAAAAGTTGGATGCAAGATCAAGACCACTAGTGCATTTGGTTTTGAACCGGGTACGAAAGCTTATCGGTTATTTGACCCGGTGACACAAAAAATAATCATAAGTTGAGATGTTATTTTTTATGAAACCAAAGGGTAGGATTGGATTAAAGAAGCAGGAATCAACAATGAAGAACCATACTCATTTATAATACCATTGGACTACCCAGAATGTGAGACGAGCAACAATCAAGGAAACGAGGTAAACAATGACCCAATGGAGTCGACTAAATTGGATCATGAGATTGGAGACGGAGCTGAAGTACAAGATAATAAACAAGTCTGATAAATAATAATGTTCAACAAGGAGCTACAAACCAAAGGCCCTCGAGAACAAGAGTACCTCCAAGATAATGAACAACAAAGTCCAATAAATAATAAGGTTCAACAAGGAGCTACAAACCAAAGGCCCTCGAGAACAAGAGTACCTCCAAGACGATTTCAAGATTATGAACTTGATAATGATAATCTTGAAGAACTTCTTCTTACAACCAATGACGAGTCGGTATCGGTTGAAGAAGCGAAGAAAGAACTAGAGTAGGTCAAATCCATGGATGCAGAAATTAATTCGATAAACAAGAATAATACTTGCACTCTCCTAAACAAGCCTATGTATGTGAAGCCAATTAGACTCAAGTGGGTGTTCAAATTGAAGAAAAATGCAGACAACACCATTAGTAAATACAAGGCAAAGTTGGTTGCTAAAGGTTACGTGCAACAACCCGGTATTGATTTTCAAGAAGTATTTGCTCCGGTAGATCGAATTGAACCCATCTGGTTTCTTATAGCCTTAGCCACTACTAATGGGTGGGAGCTTCACCACTTAGATGTTAAAACGGCGTTCTTACATGGAGAATTAAAGGAAACCGTTTATGTATTGCAACCGGAAGGTTATATAAAGAAAGGCAACGAGCATAAAGTATATTGCCTTACGAAAGCACTATATGGTCTAAGACAAGCACCTCAAGCATGGAACACGAAGCTTGACGAGATTTTGAAGAGTATGAAATTTCAAAAGTGCATGAAAGAACCATCGGTGTACCAGAAAAGTGAAGGATCTAATTTGCTAATTTTAGCAATTTATGTTGATGATTTATTTGCCACAAGTACAAATTTGAGCATGATCAAGATGTTCAAATTTGAGATGTCCAAGAACTTTGAAATGTCGGATCTTGGAAGATTGACTTATTACCTTGGCATTGAAGTTAATCAAGAGAAACCGAGGATTACTATAAACCAAGAAGCGTATGCTCAACACATTCTAAAAGAAGTTGGTTTACATGATTGTAATCCGACCCACATTCCAATGGAACCGGGAAATAAATTGTCAAATGCCGAAGACGAACTCGAAATTGACCCGACACAATATCGAAAAGTGGTAGGATGTCTTAGATATCTCTTGCAAACAAGACCTGATATGGCATGTGCGGTTGGAGTTTTTAGCCGATACATGCAATGTCCAAGAGAGTCACATGGCGAAGCAATTAAACACGTTCTAAGGTACTTACGATGAACAAATGGATACGGAATCAAGTATGAGAGGATGGGACAAATGCTACTTATTGGTTATAGTGATAGTAGTCACAATGTTGACCCGGATGACGGAAAAGGCACAATCTGTCACATTTTCTACTACGGGTCATCTCCGATAACATGGTGCTCACAAAAGCAATATATCGTAGCTTTATCATCTTGCAAGTCGGAGTTCATGGCAGCCACGGCGACCACATGTCCAGCAATATGGCTTCAAGATTTGCTTGGAGAATTAATGAACAAAGCACAATAGAAAGTGGTTCTTAGAGTTGATAACAACTCGGCTATCAAACTAACAAAAAAAATCCCATTTTTCATGGAAGAAGTAAACACATTCACACGAGGTTTCACTTTATTCGTAATTGTGTTGAAATGAACAAGTAGAAGTGGAGTACATTCCAGGTGAAGAACAAAAGGCAGACATTCGTACGAAACCGTTAGCTCGAACCAGGTTCAAGGAAATGCGGAGCTTGATCGGAGTTGAAGAATTTGCTAGAAGGACTTAGAGATTCGGGGGTGATTGTTGGAATCCTAAGTCGAGTAGGACTTGAAGACCAAGCAAAAGCAACCTAGTTTTAGGAAACTATGTTCAATTCGGTTCCTAGTTTCCTAATTGTGATCTAATTACAAGTCGGTAGATGAGAATATATATATATATATATATATATATATATATATATATATATATATATATATATATAGTTTAGCCATGTACGGTAAGAGAGATTATATTTACAAATTGAGTTTTGAGTTATTTTCTCATTTAATCAAAGAAATAGTTTGATTAATTGTTTGTGTTGTACTTTTTGGACTTGAGATAAGGAGATATAACTTTATAATTGGCTCATCATTATTTACTAGATAAGTGTAGAAATTTATGTGTATTTTATCTTTAAGTATTTAATGATAAATTCAATCCTAATGACACCTCGAGAGTAGTTAGGATACGTAAAATAATGTTACAAAAATTGATCAATTCGACATTTGCATTTATACACAAGTTCGTTTTTGTTTACATTATTGTAAAAATTCAAGGGTTATACTAATATGGAGGAGGGTTGTTGCTCATTTTAGTGTCACCTAACTGTTTGATGTAATTAGAATTTATACACATGTCAAAGAAGACTTGGACTATGATGTAATAAGATTTAGATACATATATAAGACTAGTTTGACTCCAAACACGAAGAATGATGTGGGTCAAAGGGAAGAGGTCATTGTGGTGTTATATTGGAATGGATTTTGACCATGGAAAATATTCATTTTCCAAACCTCAATGAACCTTTAACTACCATTCAGAAACCTTTCAAAACCTTCTAAATGCTTATGAAGTGAAGTTCCCTTCTAAACTTGAGAAGTTGAAATCCTTGATTGAGATGTTTGTGAACCTTCTAAAAACTTATCAAGTGAATTACCCTTTTGTATTTCTGAAGTTGAAGCCCATGATGGCCATGTATGAGTGCCTTCTAAAGATTTTAAAAGGTGGTGTGCCTTCTGAATAATTTAGAAGGTGAGATTTTATGAACTAATCAAATCTTACTGGTTTGATCCCAAGTGTCTATAATTGTTTGTAGCTTTTAAAAAACCGTCAATTCATTATCCTTATCCATTTTATATGTACAATGGGTAGATATACTAAGTAAATGTCATAATTTTGGCTCTTCTACAAATTTAAACCTTTCATACATGAACTTACTTTGTTGCTTCGTTTTTGTGCGTAAGAACTTGAAGTGTTATCTTGTAGATTATCTTGTATCAAAGTTTTTTATACCCAGGAAAAAGGTCAAATTATCGATTAAGGAAAGATAAATTATACATGATTCATAAGATATTCATGAACCATTATCATCAATTTGCTCTTATTTCATCCCCTGGTTTTGAACATTTACCTTTGAGTGGAGCTACGATTATCTATATCTAATCTCCACCTTACCTCATTGTTATGTGATTTGGGTATTGTTGTTGTTTGGAATTTGGATTTAGTTTTTCGTAAAATGGTATACATTGTATATAAAAAGTATTAAACTCTAATTTATGTGTAGCTATTAAAGCCAGACCCCATGGTGGTGGCTACAAAACTTCTAGCACGTAAGCAGTTTATAGATAGTGGAAAACAATTCAACATGATTGCTGCTTCATGGATTCAGTTCATGATTCATGATTGGATTAACCACCTTGAGTCAACACAACAGGTTCGATTGGATTACATTTATTGATTCATGCCAACAACCTATATATATAATCTTCTAATGAACGCCACTTAACTATATATTTACTTCCAAAGATCGAACTTAATGCACCTAGAGAAGTAGTTGGTCAATGCCCTCTAAAATCCTTCAAATTCTACAAGACGAAAGAATTTGATACTGGTCTCAGTGATATCAAGAAAGGTCATCATAACACCAGAACTCCTTGGTGGTATTATTTCTTCCAAAACTATGATTTTTCTTTTAGATTTGTGACATTAAGTTTAAATTATGAAGTTAAGATTTGTGTTTATAAACATTTTATATATATAATATGAAGCTAAGAGGCTTATACATATAGGGACGGGAGTGTAATATATGGAAACAATTTGAGAGAATTGTGGCAAGTGAGAACATTCAAAGATGGGAAGCTCAAGATAGCAAAAGATGGTCTCCTCCAACATGACAACAATGGATTGCCCATAGCAGGTGATATTCGTAACAACTGGATTGGTGTTTCTACTTTGCAAGCCCTTTTTATCCAAGAACACAATGCCATTTGTGACACGTTAAAGGTATCTACTTGCATCCATTAATTTTAAATTAAATAAACATATTTAGCTCTTACAATATAGTTATGAAAACCAGAAAGAATATTGTGATTTGGATGATGAACATTTGTATCGCCACGCAAGACTAGTGACTTCTGCAGTGATTGCCAAGATCCACACCATTGATTGGACTATTGAACTTCTGAAAACGGACACGCTTGCTGCCGCAATGAGAATTAATTGGTAATTAAATCAATTTTTTAAGTTAAAGTATTACTAGCATAGATTATGTTGAAAATTGATTAATTCAGGCATGGCATGTTGGGGAAGAGATTCAAGGAGACAGTTGGGCATGTTGGAGGAGCTGTGTTGGGAGGTCTTGTAGGGTTAAAGAAACCTAATAACCATGGGGTACCCTACTCATTAACGGAAGAGTTTACAAGTGTTTACAGAATGCATTCGCTTTTACCTGATCAGCTTTTCATTAGGGATGTGAGTTCAAAGCCAGGACCTAATAAGTCTCCAAGATTGAGCAAAAAGTAAGTTTTCACACCGGTACTAATTATATTCCCGATAGAACTTTTAAGTTATTATAGTAAATTTACAGGGTTGACATGATAAATTTAATTGGGAAGAACGGAGAGAAGGAATTGTCAAAAATTGGATTCATAACACAAATGGTATCAATGGGTCATCAAGCATGCGGTGCACTTGAGCTATGGAATTATCCGATGTGGCTTAGGGATATTGTTCCCCAAAACATCGATGGCACAGATCGGGTCAATCATGTTGACTTACCCTCACTCGAGAGTAAGTATCATTTTTCTTTCACTAAACATACTCGTTATATGAAGTCCATTTTGACATATTTGCAGGATTAATTTTAGTTAGATACGGAGACAGATCTCTAAAAGTATAATAATAGAGAAAAACCCGGTGTCTTAATAATAATGGTTAAAAGAAAAGGAGGATGCAATAATAAAAATATGTTGCTATTTTCAAGCATTTAGTTGTTAATTTATTAAGAAAACTGTGGTGCAGTTTATAGGGACAGGGAACGGAATGTAGCAAGATACAATGAGTTCCGTAGATCACTTATGTTGATCCCCATCTCCAAATGGGAAGATCTAACGGATGATATAGAAGCAATTGCCACATTGCGTGAAGTATACAATGATGACATTGAACAAGTGGATCTGTTGGTAGGAATGGCCGCTGAGAAAAAAATCAAGGGATTCGCCATAAGCGAAACAGCCTTTGTAATATTCATAATCATGGCATCAAGGTAACCTCACACAATTTTAAAATGAAAACTGAGAACAAACAAATAGAAATAGAAGCAAACTGACTTGTGGAAGTAAACTGTAGGAGACTTGAGGCAGACCGATTTTTCACTAGTGATTACAATGAAGAGGTGTATACAAAAAAAGGGCTTGAATGGGTCAACACAACAGAGAGTTTAAAAGATGTGCTGAATCGACATTATCCAGAGATGACTGATACTTGGATGAACTCAACAAGTGCTTTTTCAGTATGGGATGCTTCACCAGAGCCTCGTAATCATGTACCCTTGTATTTCCGTGTTCCTAAGTAACACACTCACTCTTCAATCTTCATGTTCCATTCCATTCCATTGCATGTATATGTATATGTATATGTATAATATAATATTACTCTAGTTTTTATTTCTTAAAAAATAACACGAGTGTAGTGTTTGTGTGGGTTTAAAGTTTGAATAAAGTAAATGTAGTCATAATTGGTGAATGGAATATCAATATACCAAACTTTTGGCTGTGTAGTAACTAGTAAGTATGAAATAAAACTGCAAAACAAGAAAACTAATTAACCTAACAAACAAAGAGTAGTAGTTAAATATCTACACTGGAAATCCTCTTCTTCTTCTTCTTCTATGATGGTCACTCTCTCTCAGATGGATAGAACGCTCCGATTCCGGTTGGCCACAAGACCTGAAAAAGCAATCACGGATTCCAGGGTTTCAATATATAATAATAAATTATGGAATGTCAATACTAAACACAAAACTCACCATAGGGTATGCTGGAATTGAACTAGTATTTTCTACTGCCATGATGGATGTTTATAGCTGTTAATCCTACTATCGCCATCCCAGCCATCAACAGGCTCTTTCCTCTTAAATACTCCACCACCGCCGCCGCCACTGGCCGCCATCTGCTGAAACATCTTCAACTGTTCATCACCAAGAGGAAGCTGTCTCAATCCTGAAGGCAATGTCTCATCCGGACCTCCGGGACCCGAGTTCAAATCCAGACCATGGGTTCCCCATTTTTTGTTATCGTTACTCGATCCGCCAGGTAGACCCATAACATAAGGCCTGTAATTTGAAGATGAAAGTGGGCCCACCAGTTGCGAGGGTATTGTTGGGAAACAAATTGGCCCAGGCCCAGGCCCAGCGGATGACCCCACAAACGCTGGTGACACTGTATTTGAAGGCATAGAGAAATTAGTTTCAAATGGGAAACCTGGGAATTGGAATGGTGCTGCGGATGAAAAAGCAACTGCAGGAGAAGATGATAACACAGGCCCTCTAAATAATTCAGGATTAAACGGAGTGCCAGAAGCAGAAGCAGAAGCCATAGGAGTTAACATTCTTTGTGGCACTGGCATGGAATAACTCTGTGCTGGAATCGGAATTGCTGGGTATGTACTACTTGGTGGAAACCAGGAATGGAAGTTTCCCACGTCTATGTTCCCCATTTTGACACTAGGAACATTAGGCAAAAACTGAATACCGTTTCTGGAATGTGGTATTGATTCACTGCCAATTTCTTCAATTCCAGGCCCGTTGTTGAGATCAAACCCGGAAGAAAGAAGAGACCTTGGAGGGATTTGTGGTCTGCTAAAGCTAACCATTAACGGGCCCACATCGGGAGTTTCTTCACATGCATTTAAATCGAGATCGAGCCCTCCTTTGTTCCTGGAATCCATGTATTTTGACGATGGTGGATTGTTTTGGTTTTGGTTGTTGACAATGACATCATCAGCAACACCAACATTGAGGTCAAAGTCCAAAAACTCACGGGCCTTTCGAGGCTCAGCTGGACGAAATGCACTGGTGGCAGCAGATCCCTTCCACCCAAGCTCAGCCTTGCCTTTTAACAGATTCTCAGATGATAAAAAAGGTCCTTTAGCAGCTGCTGCTACAGTAACCGAAGCAGCCCGGTTTCCCCCCACAACAGAACTTGCAGAATGTAATGAGCTATGCCTTTCCATATCATCACTAGGAACAACTTCATTCAAGTCAAAATCCAGCTTCACTGTCTTTTCTGACACAGGAGGCGCTGATGTGGAGACAGATGGGCCCGACCCATCTCCCTCTTGGGCCTCCTTTTTATCTACATTTTCACTGCTCTGCAGCAGGACAGAAGAATCAGGATCCGTATTTTCTTTCTCCTCAAACTGCTCTAAACTAACATGGCCACAAGATGGTTTCAGCAATTCAGAATCCACGTCATCATGCTCTTTCTGCGATGATTTCTTTTCATTCTCATGCTTATCTGATGATGACCTGGAAGAAGGTTCATTATTGACATGTGTCTCGACCTTTCCACTTATACCTGTTGCATCTGCTGCTGATGGAGCAGGCCCTACCTCAGGTGCCATAGGTACAGCATTACTGTTTTCCGCCAACCTGGCATGCTCATGACCATTGCTGACTTTAACATTATCTTCAACTTGGGAACCATCTTCAATTGATTGTCTGGGATTGCCATTATCTTCAGAGCAAGTGTCTTCAGGTAAAGGTTGTTTGTTTTCAGGGGAACATGATGATGTTGCCACGTCAGACCTAGACATCTCACCAGCAGCCACACTGGCAAGAAGATTCATTCCAACATCATTGCCAGCTGGCAAAGACGTGTTAACTTCAGAAAACTTCGCACAGCTTTCAACCAATGCATTTATAGAGCTGTAAGACGCTTCATGTGACTTCCCTGATTTTAGTGTCCCACTCCCACCTGATGTTGAGTCAGCACCTTTGGATGCCTCGGCATCACCATCGTCAGCATCACAGCCAACCAATCCTTCTTTCCCTTTACATAAATCCATATCCATAGCTACCACATTGTTGTCTGGTGGTGTGTCCCCTTTTCCCTTTGGCCTCCCACTCCCATCAAGATGATCTTCAACAGATCCACCACTGGCTGTGTGTGCAGGGCTTCTTCCCGTGTTCGGCAGCCGGACAATAAGTCTCTGGCTGTTGTGTATGTTTTCTTCAGTTGCCCTTTCAGGTGTGGCTCTAAATGGTGACCCCTTACCAGAAGCAGAAGGGCTAGAACTGCTACTCTTTTCCTGTTTAACTGTGACATCTGAAGGAGCAATGCCAGGTGGCACTGGTCCCGGAAGTTTTGTAGGGCTAGGAGATTCCGGCGACTTGACGATAGCTTCACCGGAACTATGCTTACCCTGAGCTTTCACTACAGAAGGTTGTGAAGAAGAAATCTTGACTTGTTTGACCATATGAGGGGACACTTCAGGCATCATTTGCTTGTTTGACCAGGAACCCGAACCTGCACGTCTTGTACCAGATCTTGTTTCAATGATATTCATTTGCTCGACTCGTTTTCTTTCAATCATATTCATTTCAGCTTCAACACTTTTCTTCCACGTGTCAACTAAACACTTAGCTTTCTTCAAAATCTCAGGGTTTTTATGGCTACGTAAGTGATTAACAGACTTACCGACATTACAAGTCTGCAAAGCATGAATATTCACAGGTAACCTGTCAAGTGCACGAAGCAAAGCAAAAAGAAACTCCTCCACAGATAAATCACCCTCTTTAGGACTACCATCACTAATCTTCCCCTTGTGGAACTCTTGAAGCCATTCATCTAAAATAAGCAAACCCCTAAGCTGAACAAACCGACTAAGGCAATCAAAACTGTCAGTAGCTGATATGACATTAACAAGCATAATTCTGGAAGCCAGGTCAACTTTCTTGTCACCACTCTCAGGCTGCATCAGCTGTATTATTTTCTCAACACCTTCAAAATCCACCAACCCTCCTTTATCTGTAATTTTGGCAATCTCAGCTTTTAACATGTCTTCAGGTCTAAATTGACCAGAGTCTGAAGTCTGCTCTCTTTTCTTACCCTTTACCTGTGGTGTCCCATTTGGACCAGGACCAGGACCAGGACCAGGACCATTTAAAGGTTTTGGGGAATGGCCTCCATACATTTCTACTCTTGTCTTATCTAAAAGCTGGTCTACTACTTCTTGTCGTTCCTGCGTCAGAAAAGACTACATAACCAATCAAGAGGATTTTCAACAGACGAAAAAGAAAGAGAAAACTAAGCTAGCTACAATACTTACATTAAGATAATCTTGATCAGTTAGCCACCATAAACGCTTAGTCTCAACATCATAAACTCGTCTGCACACAAATGATGATACCCTTGAAGGAAGTTCAACACCTTTACGAAGGAATGCGACTTTACACGGATGAAGTAGTGATGCAGCAGGTATTTTATCTTGGTGAAAGGAGTAAAAGACCTCGTTTGGTGCTGCTTCAAGAGAGGCACCTTTTAAAAGCTTCACGTCAGAAGGGCGGTAAAGCCAATTCACACTCAGGCTTAGATTGTCTTCTTTATCTACAATTAATCTACGAATTATACCAACAAATGGAGGGGAATCATGGGGTGGTTTGAACAGTGCACAGCCACCAACATGAATCTTGCGTCCATCCTGAAACAAATGTGTTGGATTTAGATACCAATAATCAAAGATGGATAAGAAAGAGAATCAAGATTTCAGAAAGTATGTTAATTTTCATAACTCAACATATGTTGTATGTTAGCTTTCCTTAAGAGACCTCAGAATATATAATTATGCATTCACAATGGCATCTAATTATATATAAAAATCTTGTTGCAACCCCTGAGAACCGCTTGCCAGCCTTGCAAACATGAAGTGATGCATATCTATAATACATTCCACCACTCATTGCAGAATTTAGTAACAAAATATACCTCTATCAACAAACACAGATAAACACATCCGAAGATAGAAGATATTGAATCTCCTAAGTCCTAACTGCATGAGTAATATAGCATATCATGTAAATTGAATAAAGCGGGCATATTAAATTTACTGCATATTGAAAAGGGAAGTGATTCCTAAACAACAATTTTTTTTCCATACACAACAAACAGAACCGGATAAAGTGGGCATATTAAATTTACTACGTACTGAAAACAGAACGTAGAGAAAAGCAAACGCAGGAAGGATGTGGTATTGTCGTTCCAATCAATTCCAAGATGCAAATAGCAAGCAAAGGTCATGCTGATTCACTTGGCATCAATACAGGAAATAACGGATATTGAAATATTTCTAAATGTATATGTATAGCATGGATACGCGATGACTGGAATAAGAAATTACATACTTTGGAGAAAGAGTTAGAGTCAATGAATACGGAGGACTTAATGGGAGCGACTAGAGACGGCGTGGAGGGAGAGGGGACCGACCACATGTGCCGCCGGTTGAACCACAGCTCACCTTCCCACCGCCCATACATAACAGCCTTCTTCCATCATAATCATCAACGGCGTCGCTTTTCGTAAAATATAATCCTTCTTCTCCGTACTGCGCGACGAGGACCATCAATTACCGGCGCCAATCTTTTGATCCCCTTTCTAATAAATTAAAAACCCTAAGTCTATGAACTGATTGATCCTGGATGAGAACAGTATGCAGGTCAGCACATCGAGATCGGTGATTTGAATAACAGAATCCCTCGAAATCAGAGCTAAATCAATCATGAAAAAGTAGACGTGGTATGGGTTCGAATTAGGGCTTATGTGTCTAAGACTTGGTGAAACGAATTCGTTAACGAATAAAGGGGATAAAATTGTAGATCTACGAATTGGGGATGTCTCTGGACCGGATTTGGACCTAGCTGAGAATTCACGGAGAGAGTTGAAAACTTTTGGAGAGAGTGAGCGGATGGCGCCGATGCAATGAATGACGATGCTACGCCCAAACGAAGAATTAACGAGGCAGGTGCGGTGGTGTGATTGTTAATCGTTGTCAAGAACAAGACGATGTCGTTTGGAATTGCAACTTCTATATATTTCTTAGCGGATATTGTTACAAAAGCCCCTGACTTTGTCAATAATAATAATAATAATAAAACTCTAATTACCTCTTAATATGATTTAATGGTTGTTATTTTGATTAATTTAAGTTTAAAAATTTTATTTCCTAAGGATTTTAATATCTATCATTTTGTAATTATTTAAAACATCAACAATTGTTTTTTGTTTTTAAATGTAACAATATAATTTTCGTATATAATTGTATTTTAATTCTAATTATTTAAAACAACAAATATCGTTTTTGTTTCGAAAAAAAAAACATTATAATTTTTTATATAATAATATTTTTAATTATTCTTATTGTAAGTTATTTTTAAACTACTTATATAAAAATTCTTAGTGATTATAAAAAATAGTTTTATGGATTTTTTTTAATTTAGGATTGCAATTTAAGTTTAACCCTCTAATTTATCACTTTTAATTTTTTATAAAATAGTCTCTCGACTTTTTATAGTTTAACTGAAATTTTGATTTATGCTAACAGTTTAAGATTATATTGAAATTAATAATTTAACTATTTGCATAAAATCATAAATTATACAACGGTTATGATTTTAAAATAACAACTGATTACATATGACAACATATTTAAAGTAATAAGTTAACTATAATATAAAAAGTTAAATTTATAATTTTATAAATAGAAGTAAAATATAATATTTTAATATTGTAGTTTAGTTAATTTATTATTATATTTTTGCTTTTATATTAATTTAATATTATTAACTAATTTATAATAATTATTAAAAAGAAATTGAAAAGTCATGGAGATTTCAAATGCACGTGGTGCAAGTAAAAATGTCTTTTTTATAAGTATACTAGGCGTAACCTCGCGCGTTGCGCAATAATGCATTTAAGTGGTTAAAATAATTATGGAAAAAAAATTAAATATGTTGAAATTTACGCTTTTAGTTAGATTTTGGGCATTATACGAATTATTAAATAACATAAAAATCCATCAATTTATATTTTGATACTATCTAATATAGTCAATACCTTATAAACTTTACTTTTACTTTTATAATATCCAATATATATTATAAGTTTTTGTATAACATTAAAATAATCTACTTTTCTTATGTCTGATAATATTTTTTTGGATAAAATAAGAAATAAGTTGTTTTAAATGAGTTATTAATAAACAATATTGAACTAATAAATTTTGTATTAGACTATTTATATTACACCATAACATCCAAGGTTTCATATATGAACTTTCAAATATTAAACATTGAAATTAAGGATAAAGTCATATAAAATATACCATTATACATAAATATCATCAAGAGTTTTAAAATAAGTCGATTAGTAAATAAAATATTTAATTTTAATTACAAATTTTGCAAGACATACGATTAACTTTATGTTGGTGAGCCGAAAATCCTCTTTCTTAATTTGTACTTTAAAAAATTAAGGTGAATATGAATATAAAATAGATATTACTAAGCATTAATATAAATAATTAAAAATGATATCAGGGTATGTGAATATCCTTCCACCGATTAAAGACAACATACCTCTCTAGTGGTATCGATTCCTATGTGAAATTGAAGTAGTCATTCTATGTACACATTGTTTTCTAATTACATAAACAAATAAACTTTTCACTGTATGCTAATTAAACATAATATAAGTTATAAAACTTTTGAGTGTTAAATCATAATTAAGAAAATCTTTGAGTTCCATTAGTTAAAAAAAAAAAGGGTTTCAAATGAATGTGGTTTGAAGAAGTTAAAAAATGGGGTTTCAAATGCATAATATTTAAGAAAAATGTTAGCTTTATAAGTATGTATGACTAGATTAGTCAATTACAATATGTGGTTCAAACAACCTTTTATACATGTACAAATGTAAATATAAAAGGAAACAAAAATCTAAAAAAAAACAAAGCATATTGAAATATTCATAACAAAAACAAATAGATAAAAACAAATAGGATAATGATGATGTTCTCACATGTAATTTCGAAATTTGCAAACTACAACTCGAATTGCACATCAATACTACAAAAAAAAAACACGATCAAACTATGAGTAAAAAATGATACATTCATCCACAACCTTGATTTGTAGAATTCTTTTAGGGACTCATCACTGCTAATACATTCTAAAAGAATTGTGTCTATTGAAAATTTTTCTTTTCATTTTCTTATGACATCCTTCTTACATGTAATATAGCATGTTTAGTGTTTAATGTTAAATCAATTACTTATAAGACATTTGAAAAGTCATTTGAGAATATGAAAAGACAAATGAGTTTCAAATCAATGTGATGCTTAGAAATATAGTCATTTAAGAATAGAAAAGACAGAGGAGTTTCAAATCAGTGTGATGCTTAGAAAAATGCTTATATTATAAGATACTAGGCAAATGTTCGTGCGTTGCGCATAAACACTTATATAGTTGAAGTCTTTACAAATATATGTTTTCTTTTAAATATAACAATAAAGTTGTTGTTATATTTGATATAATAATTCGTATACTAAATTTATATAATATATTGATTATTTTGAATTATGTGATAATATATACATCTATTATAACTGCATAATCTCAATCGTTTGAATAACTTCTACCAACGAGTTACTCATGAATAAAGTTAACTATAATATACGGTTTAATATTATTTATAGTTGTTATTGTTAATTAATTTTTTAATATTTATTTGCTTAATGTTTTAATTTCTATCATTATAATTACTTAAAACATCAAACATTATTTTTTGATTTTAAGGGTAACAATATAACCATCTATATAAAGTTATTTTTAATTATTGTTATTATAATTTATTTTAAGCTACTTATTTGAAAACTTTCAATTGCTATAAAAATATATTTGGTAATTTTTTAGTTAAATTGATATTACGATTTAAGTATTTTTTTCAAATTGTTCAAAATTTGTAGTTTTAAATTGATAATGATTTACATGCAACAACATATTAAATCTAATAAGTTAAGTATAATATGTTAAAGTTAAATAAATAATTTTATAAGTAGAAATAAAAATATTATTTTAAAATTGAAAATTGGTTTATTTATGATTTCACTTTAGGTTTGATATTTATTTAACCTTATTAACAAACTTATAATCATTATTAGAAAAAACACTACAATTAATCATTTTTAGTTATTTACAAAATATTGTTTAGGTTTTTTAAGTTAAATTAAAATTTATATTTAAGTTGAAACTATAATGTTATATTTAAATTAATAGTTTAAGTATTTTACAAAAATTGTTCCAAAATTATATCTTTAAAATGATAATGGTTTACATCCAACAATATATTAAAACTAATAAATTAGGTATAATGTGTTAGAAATTAAACAACATAACTTTATAAGTAGAAGTAAATATATTATTTAAATATATATTTTTTAAAATAGAACAATAATATTATTGTTAATTTTGATAAAATAATCCGTATACTAAATTGATATAATATATTGATTATTTTGAATTATATTGTAATATATATATATATCTATTATAACTGCATAATCTCAATCATTTGAATGATTTCTACCCGCGAGTTACACAAGAATAAAATTAATATAATATATAATTTAATGTTACTTATAGTTGTTGTTGTTGTTAATTAATTTTTAAAAATTTATTTGCTTAATGTTTTAATTTCTATCATTAAAATTATTTAAAACATCAAACATTGTTTTTCGATTTTAAAGGTAACAATATAATCATTTATATAGAGTTATTTTTAACTATTGTTATTATAAGTTATTTTAAGCTACTTATTTGAAAAAAATTAACGATTATAAAAATATATTTAGGAAATATTTTAGTTAGACTTAGATTACAATTTAGTTTTTGTATTTATCACTACAATTTATCACTTTTAACTATTTACAAAATATTTATTGTTTTTTTAAAGTGGAACTGAAATTTATTTATAAATTGACATTGTAATGTTATATTTAAATTAACAATTTAAGTATTTTGTCCAGACTGTTCAAAAGTTGCAGCTTTAAACTGACAATAGTTTACATACAACAACTTTCTAAATATAATAAATTAAGTATAATATGTTAAAATTTAAAGACATGACTTTATAAGTAGAAGTAAATATATTATTTTAAAATTAAAATTTAGTTTATTTATGATTACACTTTAGGTTTGATATTTATTTAACCTTATTAACCAAATTATAATCATTATTAGAAAGACACTAAAATTATCACTTTTAACTATTTACATATATTTTTTGAGTTGTTTAAGTTAAACTAAAATTTATATTTAGGTTGACTCTATAATGTTATACTTAAATTAATATTCTAAGTATTATATACAAATTGTTCCAAAATTATATCTATAAAATGATATTAGTTCACATCAAACAATATATTAAAACTAAGGGTAAATTACACCAATCTTTCATCGTGCATGTGCCCAAAAGCACGTTTGGTCCCTATTTTCAAAAACTAACTCGGACCGTCCCTTATTTGGTTAAAAGTTGCATGCTTCGTCCATCGCAAACATAAAATGACTATCTTGCCATTTTCTTTTTCTTTTTTCATTTATTTTTCATTTGTTTATAATTTATATACTATTTTTTTTGTTAAGTATAATTTTTAGAAAATGGAAATTCCACTTAAATTGTTTCCGAACCTTCCCACCATCAACAACCTCCTACAACCAGTCACTTCTGACACCAGCCACCTCCGGCCACCAGCTAACTTCGACAACACACCACCATTCGTCTCCAAAAATAAAAAAGAAACCTTGAATTAAACCCTAAAATAAACCCCAAATCCATACCCTAGATCTACAAATCGGTTAAACGAAGAAGGGAGATGAAAGGATGTAAGGAACAATGTGGTCGGATTAGTACTTGATATTGACACATCACTTTCAAACCATTTTTCAAAAAGTATCGGATTTTCTGACGTTTTACGAACAATACAAAACTTTTCATTCAAACATGCTTATGAATTTACCAATATTAT